ACTCTTGGATGCAGTTCATCTGGCCCTGGAGACTTGAATACATCTAAACTAGCCAAGTATTCTTGTACTATCTCCTTAGTTATTCTGGGCTGTGTTTCCTCTGCTGAATCATTTGCTTCAAATTCTTCAGGTCCGGCATTGTTTTCTTTATCGGAGAAGACTGAGGCAAAGAAGGCATTGAGGAGTTCAGCCCTTTCTGTGTCCCCTGTTTGCAATTTCACCATCTTCTCCTCTGAGTGACCCCACTGTTTCTTTGTTCTTCCTTTTGCTACGGACATACCCATAAAAGCCTTTTTTGTTGCTTTTAACCTCTCTAGCAAGCCTGAGTTCATTCTGTGCTTTAGCTTTTCTGACTTTGTGTCTACACGTGCTGGCTATTTGTTTGAATTCCTCTGAAGATTTGTCCTGAAGAGAACACAAATATATTCATATTCTTACACAGATGAAGGCATGGGTCCACATTAAAAAGTAAACAGTGTCAGTGTCTAATCCTTCCCAGAAATAAAACATAATTGGAGTTCTCTAGGGAAATAATCCACTTTTATTAAAAGCTTTGACCCCCGTACATGCACAGTTGTGCATAGATGCATTATGTGGCACCGTATTTCCCCTCCTTCCAATGAAATTAGGTTGAAGGGTGGATGATTTTGTAAGCAAAGTTTGGTGACCCTTGGTCTTTGAGGTCAGCATATGAGCCATGCCTGCTGACCATACAGGAAAATACTATATCTTTCAAGAAAATCTTAGAAACAGAATAATCCTTTTTTCCAAACCAGTGAACCCTGAGTATAGTCTTAGAATAATGTAATGGCAATGTACCGTATTTTAGTTCCTCTTACTGGAACACTGCTTCTTGAAAGGAATGATGCAACAAAACTCTGACATCTTGCAAATGACATTAAAGTACACGTGGAAAAGTAGCATAGAGTCCCATAAATAGATGAGCACTCGGCTTTCCAAAAGACGCTGGAACTTGGTAGTGCACTGCTTGGGTGTCCATTTCTCACTGGCCCCCAAGGAATCCTATTGAAAGTTCCACCATGCAAGTCTGCTGTCCATTCATAGCTACCATTTTATTGATGCTCCTGGTTTCTCCAGGTAAGTCTAATACCAGAACTGTAAGCCATCAGATTTCAGTTGCAGAACTATAGCAGTAAAGGAGAATGGAGGACATCTAGAATTGGGGCAGGCAACCAGGTGCCTGCAGGATAGATCTGCCCATCCAAAAGTTTATTTGTTTTCTTGAAGCTCTACGAAATATTCATCAAGGTATGGTGAAAATGTATGGTGCACTTTACTACTATCACATATGGGTTTGCAAAATTCAGTTTAGGTAAATTGTGCCTAAGCACTACCAAAATGCAAAACTGCATTTTGAATGGATGTATTTGACATTCATCCCCATCTATTTTTATTTTTTTCATCTATGATCCAGAAAGATGCATGAAATGTATGGGTGCTTGTAGAAAGGATCGATGGAGCAAGATTATTTTTTTCTGGCCCTGGTGGGTGGCATATTAACCAATGGCTTCAGGAAACAATAAAGGAGATTGTGGCGCTGTGGGTTAAACCACAGAGCCCAGGACTTGCCGATCAGAAGATCGGCGGTTCGAATCCCCGCGATGGGGTGAGCTCCCGTTGTTTGGTCCCTGCTCCTGCCAACCTAGCAGTTCGAAAGCACATCAAAGTGCCAGTAGATAAATAGGTGCTGCTCTGGTGGGAAGGTAAACAGCATTTCTGTGCGCTGCTCTGGTTCGCCAGAAGCAGCTTAGTCATGCTGACCACATGACCTGGAAGCTCCCTCGGCCAGTAAAGCAAGATGAGCGCCGCAACCCCAGAGTCGGTCACGACTGGACCTAATGGTCAGGGGTCCCTTTACCTTTAACTAAGCATCAGGAGGAACTTTCTCACAGTAACAGCTGTTCTAAACCTCCCTCAGGAGGTTTTTAAGGAGAGGTTGGGTGGCCATCTGTTATGGATGTTTTAGCTGAGCCTCCTGGACAAAGTATTCCAGGTGTGGTCTGACCAAGGCAGAACAGAGCGGTACTATTACTTCCCTTTGTCTTGTCACTATACTTTTGTTGATGCAGCCTAGAACAGCAGTAGCTTTTTTTTGGCGGCGGCTGTATCACATTGTTGATACATGTTAAACTTGATTAACTGTCTACTAAGACCCCTTGATCCTTTTCACATGTACTACTGGCAAGCCAGGTGTCCCCATCTTATATTTGTGCATCTGGTTATTCCTGCCTAAGTGTAGAAACTTACATTTGTACCAGGTATTCCTCCGACATCTGCAGTATTGTCTGCCTCCTCCTCAGAATCTATTTAAAACTCTCCTGATCAGGTTCACAAGACTCTTAGCAAACAGATTCTTTCTAACCACTTTGAGGTTCAGCCCATCTCTTGCCAGAAGTACTTCCTCAAGGAGGTGGAGACCACGGTCCAAGGAGCCAAACCCTTCCTGGTGACAAAACCTGCACAGTCATTGGTTTACTTTCAGTATTTTCTGTTGGTTTGCAAGCCCCCTCCACAGAGGCTGGCCCCTCTCACTGTCCTCGGAGCTTGCTTACCGGTAACCTCCTCTGGCTGATATCCAGACAGACCAGGGAGATTTTGATAGGCGACATTTTCCCAAGCGTGGGTAAAATGCACAACCCCTCTCTCCTGCTTCCGCAGGGGAAAGAAAATAAGTCAGAAATCTATTTACATGATGTTTATTTCTGACATTACAGCACTAGAGAAAAACACGTCCTTTCAGTTCAGTTTTTCTAGCAAGTCAGACAAACTTCCTGAACATGCACACACAGAAGGTTTCAAGTTACACTCTTCACAAAGACTTATCCAGCCTGTGAATGTCCTGGGAAATTCTTCTTTCCCACAGATAGGCACATCATGTGATGTCAACAGTCTGGCTGTCTGCAGCGGTGATGTTTCCATATACTGACATTTTCCTCTATTTTCCTGGCCCCAAACTTCAACATGGAGTGATGAAAAAACCATCTGTCCCCAATGCTCTTAAGCTTCCTGCCCAGAGTCTCAGATTCCTTCGTTATTAAGTTGAAAGCTGTGTCTGGAAGTATCATTTAAAGCTACATGAATAAACAAGGTATTGTAGTCAGTGGCCTTTATAAGATACGACAGCTTCTCTGCTGCATCATGATTTTTTGCGCCTGGAGGACAGCAAATTTACCCGGACATTCTGTTACCTCCACACACTGCTGCCTCTGTCCCACTCAGTAGGAAATAGCCTAACACCATAAAATGTCTCTTTCTCTTCTGAAGGGTGTCAGGAATCATTCTTTACACTGTCTCCTACAGCCTCCTCAGTGTGCTCTGAGATATTCAAATGCTGTGACTGCTCCGCTAGCCCAGAATCAGAAAATAGCTACCAGGGTTATCTATTTTAGAACTTCTTCTGCTCTCATTGTCAAACTGGGTGGTCAGTAGTTGCCTGAGTATTCTCTGTCTGTCTGTCTGTCTGTCTGTCTCTCTCTCCGATTTATTGCAATAATGTCCCTGAAAAAGAGGAGACTGAGATCTGATGCTAGTAAAGGTAAAGGTAAAGGGACCCCTGACCATTAGGTCCAGTCGTGGCCGACTCTGGGGTTGCGGCGCTCATCTCCCTTTATTGGCCGAGGGAGCTGGCGTACAGCTTCCGGGTCATGTGGCCAGCATGACTAAGCCGCTTCTGGCGAACCAGAGCAGCGCACAGAAACGCCGTTTACCTTCCCACCGGAGAGGTACCTATTTATCTACTTGCACTTTGACATGCTTTTGAACTGCTAGGTTGGCAGGAGAGATCTGATGCTAGCCACCTTCAAATATCTCAAAAGTTGTCACAGACAACAAGATGGAGCAAGTTTGTTTTCTGCTGCTCCAAAGGATAGCATCCGAACTAATGAATTCAAATAAGAAGAAAGGAGATAGTGCCAGTGCCTTCCATTAAGAGTTTGGGTGTAATCCTTGATGCCTCCCTTTCCATGGAGGCACAGGTTACAGCAACAGCCAAGGCAACATTTTTCCATCTTCACCGCATTAAGCAGGCGGTCCCTTACCTTTCCCGCTCTGATCTGGCCATAGTGATCCATGCTACGGTCACCTCCAGGCTTGACTACTGAAATTTGCTCTACGCGAGGCTGCCCTTGAAACTGTCCCACAAACTCCAGCGGGTGCAGAATGCTGCAGCGAGGCTCCTCACAGGGTCCCTGCCATGGGAGGATATTCACCCAATACTTTACCAGTTGCACTGGCTCCCAGTGGAGTATAGGGTCAAGTTCAAGGTGCTGGTCTTGACCTTTAAAGCCCTTTGTGGCTTTGGGCCCTCATTTTTACGGGACCGCCTCTCCTGGTATGCCCCACAGAGGACCTTAAGGTCCATGAATAACCATAGTTTAGAGGTCCCGGGCCCTAAGGAAGTCAGACTATCCTCCACCAGGGCCAGGGCCTTTTCAGTGATGGCCCAACCTGGTGGAATACTCTGTCCCATGAGACTAGGGCGCTTCAGGATTTAACTTCTTTCCGTCGGGCCTGTAAGACAGAGCTATTCCCCCTGGCCTTTAATTTGAATTCAGCCTGATCTTTTATTTCCCTTCTCTTCCCTCCCCCTACCCTTTCATGAAGATTACACGCTCTGAGACCCCACAGCTAATTCTCCCCCTGGCTTCCTTGCTGGCCCAAGTAGGACTAATTCAGCCAGCTAGCCCTGGTGACTATGTAATGCTTATTAGAGGGATTTCACCCAAATTGATTTCTGAACTTTGAATTTTATTTTTATTCATGTTTTTATACTGTATTTTATGCTGCTTTTACAATTAAGTATTTTAAATTTGTTGTTGGCCGCCCTGAGCCCAGTTTTCTGAACCGGGAAGGGCGGGATATACATAAATTATTATTATTATTATTATTATTATTATTATTATTATTATTATTAACAACACCATTTTCTCTTTCCAGTTGATGGCTTCACTGATTTGTCCCTGACAGTAGAAGACCAAGGGATGAAAGGGGCACACAAGAGAGAAATCCAGGAAACCGATTTTACATTTAAGATACAAGGCAAAGGGGATGAGGCTTATCTAAAGAGATTAGTCAACGAGATCCAAGCTTTTCTTACCAAGGATGGGAAAATAAACAATTATTCTGTGAACCTGAAAGGCCAAAGCCAAGCAAACCAGGGGATGCGTTTTACATTAACTGTACAAGGCACCGGGGCCGATGCTTCAGTCATAAGATTAGTGCAAAATATAAATGATTTCCTCAAAAGAGAAGGCAAATTAACTGACATTACCTTAAGCATACAAGGCCAAGGGATTGGTGCTTCTATTCACCAAAAAATTGAAGAGTTCAATGCTTCCTTGAAAGGAACCAACAAAGGAGAGCAGTGGATCCCGATTACATTGAACATAGAAGGCCAAGGGAATGGTGCTGCTCTAAAGGGATTCGTCAAAAAGATCAAGGCTTTTCTTGTTAAGGAGGGGCAAATTACTGATTATTCTGTGAACATGCAAGGCCAAGGCCAAGCAAACCAGGGGATGCATTTTACAGTCACCATACAAGGCAAAGGGACTGATGCTTCTCTCAAGAGATTAGTGGAAAACATCAATGCCATCCTTCAAGGAGAAGACAAAATGACTGACATTACCATAAGCATACAAGGCCAAGGGATTGGTGCTTCTATTCACCAAAAAATTAGAGAGTTCAATGCTTCCTTGAAAGGAACCAACAAAGGAGAGCAGTGGATCCCGTTTACATTGAACATAGAAGGCCAAGGGAACGATGCTACTCTAAAGGGATTCGTCAAAAAGATCAAGGCTTTTCTTGTTAAGGAGGGGCAAATTACTGATTATTCTATGAACATGCAAGGCCAAGGCCAAGCAAACCAGGGGATGCGTTTTACAGTCACCATACAAGGCAAAGGGACTGATGCTTCTCTCAAGAGATTAGTGGAAAACATCAATGCCATCCTTCAAGGAGAAGACAAAATGACTGACATTACCATAAGCATACAAGGCCAAGGGATTGGTGCTTCTATTCACCAAAAAATTGGAGAGTTCAATGCTTCCTTGAAAGGAACCAACAAAGGAGAGCAGCGGATCCCGTTTACATTGAGTATAGAAAGCCAAGGGAACGATGCTACTCTAAAGGGATTCGTCGAAAAGATCAAGGCTTTTCTTGTTAAGGAGGGGCAAATTACTGATTATTCTGTGAACATGCAAGGCCAAGGCCAAGCAAACCAGGGGATGCGTTTTACAGTCACCATACAAGGCAAAGGGACTGATGCTTCTCTCAAGAGATTAGTGGAAAACATCAATGCCATCCTTCAAGGAGAAGACAAAATGACTGACATTACCATAAGCATACAAGGCCAAGGGATTGGTGCTTCTATTCACCAAAAAATTGGAGAGTTCAATGCTTCCGTGAAAAACAGGCCTAACAAGGATGGCTCTGCAACTGGAGGAGAAGGCCAGTTTACATTGAAAATACAAGCTATAGGGAAAGAACCTGCTCAAGTGAGTTTAGTTCAAAAGATAAATACTATTCTTGGTCAAGAAAAGCAAATTACTGATTATTCTGTGAACGTGCAAGGCCAAGGCAAAGTGAACCAGCAATCCAGTTTTGAAGTAACCATACAAGGCAAAGGGACTGATGCTTCTCTCAAGAGATTAGTGGAAAATATAAATACTACCCTTGGAAGAGAAAATGAAATATCTCACATTATCCTCAGCATACAAGGCCAAGGGATTCAACCTTCCCTCCATCAGTTAATCTATGATATCAATGTTTCCCTGAAATACAAAAAAAACAACTGTTGTTCACCTCACAAAAAGGTCCAATGGATCCAGTTTATATTGAACATAGAAGGCCAAGGGGATGCAGCTTCTCAAATGAGATTAGAGCAAGAGATCAAGGCTTTTCTTGGCAAGGAACAGCAGTTTACTGATTATTCTGTGAACATGCAAGGCCAAGGCCAAGCAAACCAGGGGATGCGTTTTACAGTCACCATACAAGGCAAAGGGACTGATGCTTCTCTCAAGAGATTAGTGGAAAACATCAATGCCATCCTTCGAGGAGAAGACAAAATGACTGACATTACCATAAGCATACAAGGTCAAAGGATTGGTGCTTCTATTCATCAAAAAATTGGAGAGTTCAATGCTTCCTTGAAAGGAACCAACAAAGGAGAGCAGTGGATCCCGTTTACATTGAGCATAGAAAGCCAAGGGAACGATGCTACTCTAAAGGGATTCGTCAAAAAGATCAAGGCTTTTCTTGTTAAGGAGGGGCAAATTACTGATTATTCTGTGAACATGCAAGGCCAAGGCCAAGCAAACCAGGGGATGCGTTTTACAGTCACCATACAAGGCAAAGGGACTGATGCTTCTCTCAAGAGATTAGTGGAAAATATCAATGCCATCCTTCAAGGAGAAGACAAAATGACTGACATTACCATAAGCATGCAAGGCCAAGGGATTGGTGCTTCTATTCACCAAAAAATTGGAGAGTTCAATGCTTCCTTGAAAGGAACTAACAAAGGAGAGCAGTGGATCCCGTTTACATTGAGTATAGAAAGCCAAGGGAACGATGCTACTCTAAAGGGATTCGTCAAAAAGATCAAGGCTTTTCTTGTTAAGGAGGGGCAAATTACTGATTATTCTGTGAACATGCAAGGCCAAGGCCAAGCAAACCAGGGGATGCGTTTTACAGTCACCATACAAGGCAAAGGGACTGATGCTTCTCTCAAGAGATTAGTGGAAAACATCAATGCCATCCTTCAAGGAGAAGACAAAATGACTGACATTACCATAAGCATACAAGGCCAAGGGATTGGTGCTTCTATTCACCAAAAAATTGGAGAGTTCAATGCTTCCTTGAAAGGAACCAACAAAGGAGAGCAGCGGATCCCGTTTACATTGAGTATAGAAAGCCAAGGGAACGATGCTACTCTAAAGGGATTCGTCAAAAAGATCAAGGCTTTTCTTGTTAAGGAGGGGCAAATTACAGATTATTCTGTGAACATGCAAGGCCAAGGAAACCAGGGGATTCGTTTTACAGTCACCATACAAGGCAAAGGGACTGATGCTTCTCTCAAGAGATTAGTGGAAAACATCAATGCCATCCTTCAAGGAGAAGACAAAATGACTGACATTACCATAAGCATAGAAGGCCAAGGGATTGGTGCTTCTATTCACCAAAAAATTGGAGAGTTCAATGCTTCCTTGAAAGGAACCAACAAAGGAGAGCAGTGGATCCCGTTTACATTGAGTATAGAAGGCCAAGGGAACGATGCTACTCTAAAGGGATTCGTCAAAAAGATCAAGGCTTTTCTTGTTAAGGAGGGGCAAATTACAGATTATTCTATGAACATGCAAGGCCAAGGCCAAGCAAACCAGGGGATGCGTTTTACAGTCACCATACAAGGCAAAGGGACTGATGCTTCTCTCAAGAGATTAGTGGAAAACATCAATGCCATCCTTCAAGGAGAAGACAAAATGACTGACATTACCATAAGCATACAAGGCCAAGGGATTGGTGCTTCTATTCACCAATTCATCCTAGAGATCAATGCTTCCCTGAACAAAAGTCCCAATCAAATTGTTGTATCCACAGTTTTTCCTTTTATGGTGAGCCTACAAGGCCAAGCAACTGTTCCTACTCTCAACAGGTTACAAGAGGAATTTAATATATTCCTGAAGAAAGAAGAACAAATAACTTCTTCTTCTGTGAACTTACAACACCAGGTTATTGATGGTTCAGCCAACAATGGGGATCAGAAGGCCCTTTTTATTCTTGTCCTAAAAGTACAAGGAACTGCTGCTTCTCTCAGCAGATTAGTCCAAGTGGTCAAAGATTTCCTTAAAGGAGAACAGCAGATTGTGGCTTCTTCCCTAAGCATACAAGGCCAACAAATTGATAGTTCTCTCAACCGATTAATTCAAGAGCTCAACGCTTTCCTGGAGAAACAACATGAAGCAAATGATATTTCAAACAAGAATGGGGATCAGAAGGGCTTTTTTCTTGTGAGCATTTATGGCCATGGGACTGATGCTTCTGTTACCAAACTAGAGCAGACAATTAATGCTTTCCTTAAGAGTGAAAGCCAAATTAGTGGTATTTCCCTGAACATACAAAGCCAAAGAGTTGATAGCTCACCCAACAATAAGGGTCAGATGTTGCTTTTCATTCTCAGCATACAAGGTCAAGGAACATATGCTGCTCTCAACAAATTAGTCCAAGAGATTGATAATTTCCTTCAGAGAGAAGACCAAATAACCAATAATTTCCTGAAAATAGATCACCAAAGCACTGGTGAATTATCCATGGTGGAATGCATTGATGATATCCAAAGAAAATGCTGGGATCGCATGGGTTCTTGTTACAGTAATCCATGTAGCGGGAAATTGAAAGAAAATGGATCATGTGGTCCAGGATTCTACTGCTGCAAATAAATGGCATCAGAAATGATACATGTGTATTAAGTGTCCACGTTTTATGTTCTGGTGTTATAATTTGAAAATGAACTCCTCAAAGCGGCATTAGAATGATTTACATTATTTATGCAGTGCTCTTCCAGGGTGTTTAGATAAAACCCACAATTTACATGAGACCCATAACCATATTTATGCACATGTAATCTTCTTGCTTCTGATATGCATGCTGGGAGGAAATCCTCAACACAACATTTATTCAACTGTGCATTTTATCAAGGGTGGGGGGCTGTCAGGGCAGTAGCCCAGGCGTATTATATCTTAAACTCTGTGAGCCATTTTTAAAAGGTGGGTACAGGGATCCAGATTGTCAGCCATCTCACGTAATAAAGACCTCAGGTGATGATCACTGGGACATTAAAATGCCATCCAGGCTTTACCGCAGACTTGAATAAATCATCTATAATCTGCTGGATGGTGACTTCATACTTGCTTTGTGCAGAGATCTGTCTGTGGCTAAAAAACAAAAATAAGGATTACCTTCTAATAGAGGCTGGTTGCATTTAGTGAGTCAGTATGTGTACTGACAATTTTGTTCAGAGTGGTTCTTTCATCCTTTCATGTCATTCCTTCTTTAGCTACGCTGCATTTTGCCTCTTAACCCAAGGACATGTGTGGTTCTGACTTGTACAGAGAGCTTACTCTTTTGCTGTAGCCCAGCCCAGCCTAGTATACACCCAACATCTGTGTCATTAAAGCACCTTTAGAGAGCAGCATAAAGGGAGGTTGTGTTACGGGAGGAGTGCTTTTCAATAAGATGATGGAGTACTAGGCACTGGGCAATAGTGGATCAACCTTCCCTAAAGCAAGCTTCCTCCTCTGCAAGTATATTTTCTTGTTCCACCCAGTTGTGGAATTTCTCAGTGAGATACAGTTCTATCCAGCCTGGTTGTGGTGTGGTGTGCCATGACATGCTGCAGCCCCATCACCACCATGTCAACAGCCTCCTGAAGTCTGGCACCATCCCTTTGGCCAACCAACTAAGGAGCTCCCAAGGTATTGGTGGCGATGGTAAGGAAACCAACATCTCTTCCAAGATTGGAGCTGTCTCTCTGATGCATACTTTGGCCCTACCTAGCAATCCCCCTCTCCTGCTACTACAGAATTGAAGCTAACAGCCATCGCCACATCATCTTCTATCGATATTCATATCCTAAACATCCTTCTACATACATCAAGAAGGGTTACAGGTCATGAGAAGTAAAACACACATGGCTTCATACTGGTAACTTCATCCCTGCAATCACTTTGGGGTGCCCCTAAGTGCCCAGGACATGTGGGTCTCAATTATCCTATTTTATCACTGTTTCCTTAGCAACCAGGCCTTCAACAGGGTGGTTGATAGTCCTGTCCCTTTCTCACTTCTCCCTGAGCCGTCTCAGTAAGCTTCAAAGAGATGATCGGATTTACACTCCACTGTAATGACATCCTTAATGACCATTTGTGCCACTTTTAGGGTTAGATAGGGTTTCTTGTTTATGACCTAGAGAGCACAGGGGTTATAAAATGTGGAAAACACTGGAGCCATACTTTAAAACTATTCAGTGATACATTCTATATTTCTAATATTTGAAACATAATCTAAATCAAATATATATACTGAGGGTTCTCTGATTTTTACACCAGCACTATATAGCAATACTTAGACAGAGTTATATGTCAGAGTGCATGATCCTGAAATATCCTCAGTAGAGAGTTATTCCAGGCCCATGAAGTTCACAGAGTGACCTTGGGTCAGTCCCTAACATTTATGCTGACCTATACAGTGGTACCTTGGGTTAAGAACTTAATTCGTTCCGGAGGTCCGTTCTTAACCTGAAACTGTTCTTAACCTGAGGCACCACTTTAGCTAATGGGGTCTCCCGCTGCTGCTGTGCCGCCAGAGCACGATTTCTGTTCTCATACTGAAGCAAAGTTCTTAACCCGAGGTACTATTTCTGGGTTAGCAGAGTCTGTAACCTGAAGCGTCTGTAACCTGAAGCATCTGTAACCCAAGGTACCACTGTATCACAGGGCTGTAGTGGGGATTAAGTGAGGGTATGTGTGAGGGAACCTCCTTGTGCCTACATTGTAAAAAAAAGTTGTAATATGCATGCAATGTATAAATTATATTTCTTTGTTGTCCTATGTAGGAAAAGAGGTATTGGAGGAAAATAATAATAGAGTCTGGTGTGAAGGAAATGTCAACCCACAGGAAAGATATTCTTACCCATGGATTACTGGTATTCAGTGAGCTTGTGCTCCTACTTGCCCAATTTTTGACTGGGATCTGATGGATATATCTCCCTAGGCTTACATAGATGAAGGCATGGATCCACATGAAATATAAACACTTACTGTCATTTGCATAAATCAGTGTAATTGGACTTCTCTAGGGAAATAATTCACTGCTATTAAAATCTTCGACCCCCACAGATTCACCGTTTTGCACAAATGCTTTACCTGGTCCCCAGTTCCCCTCCCTCCACTGAAAGGTAGATTATTTTATAGCCAATTTAATAGTTTGCAGTTGGTGCTTCAGTGCAGCATGTGTTTGCAAATGTGCCAAAAGATGTTGCTGATTGCTGACCTGTGAGGTAGGCTTATGGGCTATGTTTGCTGGCCATTCAAGATGGAAACTGTATCTTAAACACACACACACACACAAAACAGTACAAACTTTATTTCCAGTATATTTTCTCTTTTTCAAATGAATCAGAAGCAAGAGATGAACGGTTCAGCCAAGAAAAAGGCCCAAATGGTGCATTTTATACTTACAATACAAGTTGAAGGGATGCATGCTTCTTTCAAAAGATTTGTCCAAGAGATCAATGCTCTACTTGGCAAAGAAGGTGAAATAACTGTTTATTCCCTGGATATACAAGGCAAACATATTGGCGGTTTCCCCAACAAAGTAGACCAGGAGGACAGTTTGATCATTAACGTACAAGGGACTGACACTTCTGTCAGAGGATTAGTCCAAGAAATTAAGAATATGCTTAAGAGACAATGCCAAATAATTAAAGCTTCTCTATATAGGGAAGGTCAAGAGACTCATGCTTATATTAGCAGATTAGGCCAAGTGAGGAATGCTTTCCTTAGGGAAAAAAGGATTCTAGGTGATATTTCACTGAACCTAGGGGTTGATGTTTCTCTCCAAAAATTAATCCAAGGGAGAAAACCTTCCTTGAACAAACAGCACCAAGGAAATGAGCATAAAGGGAGCCGTTTTATCCTAAGCATACATGCCAAAGGAACCAATCGTTCACTCAGGAGATTAGTCCATGAGATCAAAGTTTTCTTTAAGACCGAAGGCCAAATAAGTGATTCTTCCATAGAGATAGAACGTTATGGGATTGATGGAGACCAGAAAGCCCTTTTTATCCTGCGCATACAAGGTCGAGGGACTGTTGTTATTATTAAAAGATTTATCCAAGTCATACATGGTTTCCTTACAAGAAGCAGCCACCTAACTGATGCTTCCCTGAACATACAAGGCCAAGGGATTGATGCTTCTATCAACGAATTAATCCAAGACATCAATGCTTCCCTGGACGAAAAACACAAAACAATTGATGTGCCCATATCCTTCTATGCCGAGCATACAAGATGATTCAATCGAGGAGGATTGCATTCATGATATCCAAAATATTTGCCAAAGAGAATGGGTAGTTGCTTCAGGGAACCATGTAAGGGGAAGAGGAAAGAAAATGGCTCATGTGGCCCAGGCTTCTACTGTTGCAAACTATCATTTAAAAAATCTCTTTTTCCAATAAATGGTATCAGAAATGATACATGCATTTTAAACATCCATGTCTTATGTTTTGGTATTATAGTTTGGAAGCTTACACCCAGAAATTGCTCCTCCAACTGACATTAGAAGGGTTTACATTATTAATGCCATTCTTTTTCTAGTTTCCTTTCGTAAAATCACACAATTTACATGACAACTGTAGGCATATTTATTCACATGCAAGTCCCTGAGTAATGAAGAGATATTATTGTTTTTCAATAATTGGATTATTTCAGATAATAATTGCTGCAATACATTTATCTAGATTACACCAAGGAAACGTCAATGCTTGCCTGAACAAAAAACACAAAACAATTGATGTGCCCACAACATATCCTTCTATGCCAGATATCTATTCTAGATATCCTTCTATCTAGATAAAATATGTTTATCTAGATAAACGTCTTGCAGCAATTATTATCTGAAATAATCCAATTATTGAAAAACAATAATATCTTTTCATTACTTGGAGACTTGCATGTGAATAATCAGGGGTGGGGGATTTTATCTGGCCAATGAGCCAGATCTTCATATCTCTTAACATTTGTGAGCTATATTTAAAAGTTGGGACAGCGACACAGGCTATCAGTCATCTCACATCACCAGGACATCATGTGATAAGTACTGGGACTTTGAAACACTTATGCAAGGCTTACAAAGAGCTCTGCATGGTGACTTTGTTCTTTTAAAAAAAGTTGTTAAAATCATTTAAACATATAACAACATACTACAGATAAATAATGAAACATAAACAGTTTGTTAATAAAAAAAAAATGAATGGAAGGTGAGTCCTCTGTTTTCATTTTTAGCCATGTGCGTAATAAAGCTATGACGTTCAATTACTGAACAGCCTTTTTGGTTCAAGCCTAGTGCAAATAATATTTCCACAAGTGCTATTTTGAAATACTTTGTTGTGCCAATTTGTCGGGGAAGCACCCCATCAGTCCTTCCAGTGTCTCAGTATCATGAGCTTGGCTCACAATATTAACCTGTAAGATAATGTTGTCTTCCATGATAAGACTAAGGAGAAACAGCTCTGGACACCTGAAGACATTTTGTCCAGTAATTGGTTTTATTTGGGCAAATATTCCCTCCCAGAAGTGAGCCACTTTTCCACAAGGCTACCACATCTATTGGTTACAGCCCAACATTTCATATCCTCTCCAAATGTTTAGCAAGCAGGAGGAGC